AGTTAAGATTCCACGTCTGACATCACTCGATGGGACAAGTCTCACGTATCACGTGATCAAATTTTTGCCAAGACTCGCGTGGCTGCCCTCGTCGTCTGCTGACTCTTTTAGTCAGCCGCCATGACCGTTCCCGGTCCTGCCATCTTTTCTGTCTCCCCACCCACCGCCGCCAGCCCGCTGGTTGTGTCAACCATCTGGTATGGGACTTGCCAACCCGCTGCTGATAAACAAATGAGTCAATCACTTAAAATTAATTAACCCTCAACCTGCTGCTAACATTCTAATTGCGATGCAGGCTGTAGATAAATATGGGGGGGGGGGGGTGTTCGCTCTTGGTTTTATTTAGGAATACAAGTTTAATACAATACCTGACGCTTAATGCATTATTAATTTAGTTATGTTGTCCTTATTTTGTTTTTTTAAGTCTAAATGCGTGTGGCCATGTACTAGAACGCAGAATAGCTATTCGAATTATTCTAAGAGATGATTTTGGATTTATACCTGATGGGTAGAGCCAATCAAAGTGTACAAATACCTATATATATATATATATATATATATATATATATATATATATATATATATATATATATATATATATATATATATATATATATACCTATACATGGATAAGGCTTTAGAACACTGCTCACAAATGTCCCATTTACATATTCTCCAACACTACTTATCCTTCGACATATTTTTTCGATTAGTCTGTCCTTCCAAAAGTTTTTATCGACTAGTTAGAACTGTATCATCCCAGCTACAAAGGTGACGAAATTAGCACATCAGGGGAAATAATCTCCGCAGATAATCACGGGTGCATTATGGCCCCTGGCGAAGTGCTTGCGATTTTACCAACTTCTGAAAGCGCGCGAAGAATGGACGGTGACTTTTTCAGGTGAACCAGAACGAGGCAGTTCTAGATTTATTCCTTTCATGTGGGCATAAACCACTACACTAAGAGTTTTTAAAGATTCCTCGCTGCATATCAGTGATTTTAGATTTTTTATAAATCAGAACCCACCCCCTCCCCCGCCACTTTTTTTTTTTTGCATTTGGAAGTTTTTTATTTGAACATTTTGTAAAAAGTTGAACTGTATTCTTTTGCGGGCATCTTCAACGAATCAAAAAAGTAGAAAAAAAAATCGTAATATTAAAAGAAATTATGTTGTAAAACGTAGCCTATAGTTAAACTTTGATTAGAATTAAAAATAAATAAAATAATACCTATTTCCTGATTATTGCAGAAGCAGGTGCAGGATGTGACGTCAAGACCACGTGATTTTGTCAAGAACCACGTGACTATAAAACCACGAAGAGTAAAAATAACGTTCGTCTCTGGAAAATCTCGACTGGTAAAAGTATTGAAAGTATCATATAGTATCTTTGCTTTAATTAATTTTGCACTTAGCTTCAGCTCAGTGGCGTAGCGAGGTCGGGTGTCACACGGTGCGGCACTTAATGGTGTCACCCCCCCCCCCCCCCCAGAAGCGTAGCGACCTTTCCCGGCGCCAGGGGACAAACTTTCAATTTTCGATTTGCACCACCCTCCCCCCCCCCCCCTCCACCGTTGTCGGGATTTGTCAAATTTGCTCTTAAAAGACTATTTAACACTTGAATTAATCACTTAATTAAGTGGAATTATCATTTTTCTCTATATATTTTGCTATTTTTTGCCTTGGTGTCACCTCCCTAAATGGTGTCACCAGGTGCGGTCCGCACCCCCCGCCCCCACCCCCTCGCTACGCCGCTGTTCCAGCTATAGTGAGTAGGACAGCGTGGCCTAGCAGTAGAGCGCTAGTTATCTAGTTCGTATCCGGGCACGGTCCTGAGTCCACCCAGCTCTATTGGGTTCCTAAATTACTTTAGTGAAAGTAACCCTTCATATGTCAATGTCACAGAAACAAGTACAATCTACTTCACCTGCTCCATAGACCGTCAGGTACGAAAAGGGAACTTTACTAACTTCCTTACGTTCAACTAAAATAGTCATGACCCCCATATACTTGGGTTCGACCCTTTAACCCAAGTAGTTTTGCCCCTGTACTAGGGTTCGGCCCTTCAAACCAGACTTAGTCCTATATTTGTAAAGACTTCCTCTGGTGCCATAGTCAGTATTTCAACCATTCACATTCATCATGAATAGATAAAATAGCTCGCACCAGATGACGCGAAAAGACGCCCCCCCCCCTTGCCCCTGCTAGACACAGAATGCGTCGCTACATTCCTTTAAAAAGTAAACAAGAATGATGTCACCTATGCATTGCCTACAACACAAACTGTTTTATGAAAAGACTACACTTATCTATAGAAGAAAAAAAAACTTTAAAAAATTAAATTACTCTATGAGAATTACTAAGTACGCGATTAACGAGTAGAAAAAAGTAAGCCTACCTCAAAACAACGGCAAAAAGTTTATTGTATCTTAATTGTTTTCATTTTTATATTCACGAGAGCATATACCATTTTAAAATATGAAGTTAAATTGTTGTTGCAAATATTGATGTAGTGGATTTGTTTCCCTGTTAGCAATTGAGATGGTTTTTTTAACTCTTAGAGTAAAACTTCTTGATTATTGAAAAGTAAAATTGGAAGGTAGTTTATAAAAAGGTGGAGAGGCATAAACTAACATAGAAAGAGTAAATGACCCCCCCCCCCCACCCCACTTTCCCAAGCCAACAGGGAACACTATCTACATACCTTACACATATGTTTATGTGAATGATGTCGTTAGTATAAACATTTTGTTTTCTAGAGTTTCTTCCAGGCATCTCTTCGGGGGTGCTCCCCCCCCCGGAACGAAATGAAATTTATATATGAAATATATACTTTTACGCCCCCTCCCCCACTTTAGCCCCCCCCCCCCCGAAATATCAAGTGTCCCTCCGGGGAAAAAAGGTCTGAAAGAAACACTGTTCTTTTCATCTTTTCTCGTTCATGCCCAAGTGTGTGTTAGCTGTATGCCCGGTCTAACGCGATTAAGGATCATACGAATCATTTAGTATAACATAAGCCCGGGATCCGAACTCGAACCTTGCGGGTTCGAAGTCTAGCGCTCTACTTCTATGCCACGCTTATTAAATAAAACTGGTATTAAAAAAAAGTATATATATGATTTATGTATGACTTTGTTGAAGATTTGGATGTAGTTGTGTCCCTGGAAAGATGATTGAAAAAAAAAGAGATATTTTGTTAAGATTATGTCTAGGGTGAGTTCTAGGCGTGGGGTAGCAATAGAACAATCTGGAATACGTCCTGCCGATATTTTAAAACCTACCGTGTTTTAGTGTAACCTGAGCACGGACCGACTCGTGTCAAAAAAAAAAAAAAACGCGCGCGCACAAAAATGGCAAGTTCCATGACAAAGACAGCGTGTGCATTAGTCAGTGAACTTAGATAGTAAGTGTCGTTAGTACACCCCCACCCCCCTACCCCCCACCCCCCTTCTATCCACGGCTTTAGTCTTTGGTTTGACCTCAGCAATATGACAGCTTAATAGCGCAGGCCGCCGCGAGACTACTTTGTGAGTCATGTAGAACACTCATTTTTAGCAATCTCTATAAGGCGACTAGGGGGGGGGGGTTGCTGTGAGAGGGGGGGGGTCGTATCTTTACATCTATAGTGTTGTAGAACCTCGGGTGTTAATGTTAAGGGAGATAAAGTGTTTGTTAAAATGGTGTTGTCGCTGGGCGAGGGTCGCGCATTTGGGGGGAGGGGGAGGGGACAGCAATTAGACAGAACGCGTCGCTTTGATTGCCGTATTTAAATTGGTCGTGACTAACGAGGACCTGGGGACGACCACGTGATGCCCGATATTTAAAAAGAAACAAATCCTGTTGGATCACGTGAGGCCTGACGTAAACAATCGCGTGTCGGTTTTTGTCCGACGAAAAACATAGGTTTAGGGTTGACTTGAGGAGGAGAAAAAAACAAGGAAAAAATTCTTAATAAATAAAAGACTTTTACTTAAAACAAAACTAATACTAAATAATAAAACATTTTGGCGTAAGCTCTACATCAACTAAAGATGAGACAAGATATTTTAAATATTATTTTTCGATCATCGTCATCTTTTCTCTGTTGTGTCTAGGATACATAGGGCCGTCTCCACAAGTTCTTTCCACATTATAGCTAGAATCTAGCAACTTCCTACTGTGTGCCTCCACCTCTCCCTTAGTCTATCCATGTTTTTTTTCCCCTTTCTTATCACTACAATTTTAGTTTGATTAGTTTTTACATTTTATTTTAGCCATGTAGTTTTTCAGTCTATATTTTTGCGGAAACCGTTATTTCACAGTAGGCTCTACAGGCCAAATTTAACCTAAAATTAATCCAATAATAAATGTTTTGGCTAAAAAAAAAAAAAAAAAAAATACTTTACTCCTAGTAACGTTATTTGACTTTTAAAAAAGCCTATTGTTTGACGATTATTCAACTTTTCGTGAAATCGCGTTTAGCGTGATTATGAACAAAATACGGTTCCCACTTTCTACTAATTATTTTTTTTAAAGGAAAAAAATATTTTAAACAAAAATAAAATATTCTTATTGTTTTGACTCTATGGGAATCCGGTGACAACATATAGTAGAGAATAGAAAATCAAATAATTTTATCTTTATCTTGTCTTTGATTGTGATGTAGCCGCGGTGCCTTACTCATCTTATCTTATTTACCCGGAGATCATATCAAGGTCAGACTGACATCCTCGTGACTTGGTCAACAAATGATCAGTCTCGACCCTCCCCCCTCCCCCCCCCCCCCCCTTATTCTTGAACCCCTGCTTTAAGCAGACAACCCATTAGCGGCGATTGTGCGAGATCCGTCCCGGAATAAAGGGACATAAGCCGAGCTTTAATCGCCGAACTAATGACCTCCCCTGTGCAAACAACTCTTTTATGTGGTCCAAATCTCCTGGAATGACCGGTGTCTGATGAACTCGGCGCGCTGACCGTGGTCTGGACAAGGGAGGAGATAAGAGGGGGGGGGGGGGTAACAAGATGGGACCTGATTGTCCAGAAGTGGTATCCGGCAGTCCGAGTGGTCAGGTAGTATCGGCCGTTGTATTCTGTCGGCCGTTGTATTCTATCGGCCGTTGTATTGTCGGCGGCGATCACCTGTTACCTGCTGGCCGTATCACAGATTACCCCCAGCCGTCGACGGCAAATATCCTAATACCTTGAAGAATGTCTCACTCACTCAATCCCCCCCCCCCCACCACCCCACCCCGACCCTCAGACAGATGACCCACCCGCAGAGATCTGAAGCTACGACCCCTATTCTAGATCTTCCTGCGAACGTCTCAGTGGTCTATCATCTGGGAGTTATAACCACTTTGAGTGTGTGGTTATGTGGTTGGTATGTGTGTGTGTGGGGGGGGGGGTATAAGAAGGAGTTGTTCAATATTTTATTGTCCGTTACAATCTGGCTTATACGGGCTTAAGAAATTGGCTGTTGAAGTCGTTGAATTCTGGCCAATGTCGTTTGAATGGCTTGAACTTTGTGTGGCCAGGCAGGCCTACACATGAAATCTCATGTTCTTCTTCTTCGTTCTTAATTTTTAGTGTTGGGAGGGATCGAGTCTTATCTGCCAGAGGGTTTGAACTCGAGACTTTTTTTCGAATTTATCAACCATGAAAAATCTCAATTGTGATTCAAAGGTAGTTAATTAAACGATTAAAACAACGATTTTAATTTTTTTAAAAAAAATGATATTTGCAATATAAGGAGACAATCCCGACCCCCACCTCTAAATCTTGCACTAATGTCATATTACACTGTTTCATATCACCATAACGCTACACTCAAACCGAGGGTCCAGAGCCGGCGTTAGGGGGTGGCTAACGGGGCGGTCGCCCTAGGCCCCGCGCTTGAAGGGGCCCCGCGCTTCAGCACTGTCATTGTTATCTGAATTAGTTTGTAAACTTAAAAAAATTGTTTCTGAATTCAATTGGGAAAATTTAAATGGTCGAATGCCGAAGTTGTTGATTGTTATAACTGAGGCCACGGTTGATGTTAGTGAGTTATTACCCACCTGAACTGGGACAGGCCATAATTCGATTAAAAAAAACTGTCAGACCTCCCATTTGTGTAGGGTACGGTCGCCTCGCATTTGACCTGAGTTGACTGGAGATAGTTGGACGCGAATCAGCCCCCGACCTGACATGGGATGTAAATTTGGGAAACACGTAAAGTGGTACCGATGAAGACTTCCTATTAGTGAGCAGACGGGATGCCTGTAGTATACAGTTAGTGACCTGATGAACGCTGGTCCTGACTTTCTTGTTGTAGATGTCGTATGTGTAGGCCTACTTGTCTTTGTGTAACAGAATTAACATTCAGTTGCGTACAGAGGGGTGGGAAGAGGGCGACGATGGGTTGGGGGAGGCCCTGAGGATCTATATCAAGGGGCATTAGACAGAGTGATTTATTATTATTTTTTTGGAAGAAAGTTAAAAGTGTTGATGTAGCATGTTTTCTCTATTATTAGCAGGTTTACGTCATGGTGTCATCACCACCCCCCTCCACCCTTGTCGGGATTTATCAAATTTGCTCTTAAAAGACTATTTAACTTTTTAAAGTGGAACTATCATTTTTTGCATGTTTTGCTATTTTTTGCCTTGATGTCAACCCCCCCCCCCCCCCAATGGTGTCACACGGTGCGGTCCGCACCCCCCCCCCCCCCCGCTACGCCCCTGCTTTTATATTCACAATTAGTCATCAACAAACAATTTAAACAACTTTATTTTCCTAATTATTTGGTACGTGATTGAATTTCCTTAAGTGATTTGGTATGAATTACATAACTGTCAAAAGTGATTTAATATCTAAGCAAGGAAAAAAAACAACTAAGAACACTGGGTTAAAACGTGGGAGAGGTAAACATCTGTTATTAAAGTCTTATAGACTCCAAAACATTTATGTGTTATTAATGCATATTATATAGGACTGTACACACACACATACACACACACACATATATATATATATATATATATATATATATATATATATATATATATATATATAATGGAAAAAAGCAGGCCCCGCGCGGATGGTTGGCCCTAGGCCCCGCGTATTCCTAACGCCGGCTCTGCGAGGGTCCCTTTATTATGACCTGACCCCCCCCCCCCCCCCACCTCCCCCTCTCCCCCTCACCAGCCGTCCCGTCCCGTTTAACAACAGGATAACGACTTGTACCCCCATAAAACCCCGGACTAGATAAAAACGCCTTTAGTCTGGTTTTATAGGAGGCATCGGCTAGGCGTTGTCCTGGCCATAAAACTGCTTGTTCTCCTCTCCTGACAGATACCACCTTGACTCTCCCCCCCCCCCCCCCCACCCACACCCAACACCCCACACCTTGATACCGTAAGGTGGGCCATAAACTAAAAGATGGGCTCGTCCGGGCGTTATGGCCGACGTTTTCACACACGCAACAATGAAGGGGTTAGCGCCACGTTTTAAATGCAATTCGTCACGTTAGTTCGCGGTGGGTTTTTTTTTTTGTTTAGGGCATATGCGCACGGTCGGACTCGCAGACAAGGAGAGGTGCCAATAAAAAAAATACACCGTGTCGAGGTATTAACACGTTCAAAAACTGGCAGTAAACGGGTGGGGAATTTTTTTTTTTGACATCGAATAAATCTACCCTATTTTCTGCTTACCCGAGCAGAAGTTAAGAGTAGAGGGCGTTTAAACGTTGGACATACAAATAGAATATGTCACAAAGTTAGGGAATGGATAAGTTGTGTAGGAATGGATAAGGAATGACATTAGGGGTGGTATCAACTCTTAGAAAAAAAAATATGTTAGTAAGGTTAGGTCCTAAAGCGGTTCAGATAATTAAGCATGATACTTGGAAAATGTCAATCATGCATGTTGATACTAGCAAAATGTCATTATGGGTTGATACTAGCAAAGTGAAATTATCAGTTGATACTAGCAAAATGTCATCGTAGTACTACCTAAGGCTAGACTTGACGTTATAAGTATGTTAAACTACTATATAGATACTCTTAACTACATTATTATAACCATGTCATAGAAAAATTATAAATACGTTAAATGTACATTAAACTGCTGAATATATGTTTTAGATATGTGATACTACAATACAAATATGCTATAGATATAGTAAACTATATATATTTATCTCTAGATATTATTTATGCTGAACAACCAAATATCGATGGGCAACGTTACAATGTTGTAAATAATTAATTCACGTTGGAAGATTTTAGGTAGGCTTCTACTTTTAGTGATCTCTCCCTCAACTTAAGCCTCGATTTTTCCCTTTAGCTGTGCCTTCATTTATCCTTTTATTGTATCTCTATATCTATCTTTCTATCCGTTTAATTATCCTTATATCAATTATTTTGTTCCTCTATTTGTCCTATCAGTATTAAGCTACGAATACGTCTATTTCATATTTAGTTTATCCCTCTATTTATACTCTATTGATACCTCTATGTATACACTATTTATATATGTGGTTCCCCCATTTTCCTTCACACGTATCAATCTTTTGTATTTAACTAACTGGTTATGTAAACGATACCAGACGAACTTGGGAAAAACCCCGCGTCAGTATGGGTGATCCACCCCCCCCCTTACCCCTAACACTCGACATTCTGTACACTCCGTAAGATGACACTCCAGAGGTCCTAGGACCGCGGGCCGGACCAGGTGACCACCACACCAACAGCATCTAGAGCGGAACGACTGTACCCATGTACTGTCTCGTTAGCGGGTTATTGTTCCAGCCTTGACCGAATACCCCCGCACCTGGGATCCAACATGACATGCCGTATGACATGGCGCATGACATGCCGGTGCGGCTTTCTTCAGATAGCGACGCCCGCACCTCAAGTAGGGGGACGAAGCGACAACAGCGCATTGCTAGATTCAACGCGACGCTGCCGCTAAGAAAACGAACGGGGAACGCGGAAAATACTGTCCGACTCATAACTAAAGAACGCTAATAACTTTTGCTGCGGGGTATCCACGCTCCAGCGGGCAGACCAGATGTTGGAGTATTTGTCATGTCTTTTCATTTTAATAACAATTTACATTTACAGGAATAGATGACTGCTGTTTCAGAAAGAAGTAGGCTAGATGTGATTTTTTTTTTACAAAGAATATCTTTGATTTTGGTAAAGAATTTTTTTTTTATCTTTATGGAATTAATATTAAAAGTCATGGTTGTGAAAGATGAATGAAAGATTTGTGTTGTACACCCCCAAAAAAAGTGTCCTCAAAACCCCAGTCCTCAAACCCCAGTCCTCAAACCCTAGTCCTCAAACCCCAGTCATCAAACCCCCAGTCCTCAAACCACCCTAGTCCTCAAACCCCCAGTCCTCAAACCCCCAGTCCTCAAACCACCCTAGTCCTCAAACCCCCAGTCCTCAACCCCCAGTCCTCAAACCCCAGTCCTCAAACCCCCAGTCCTCAAACCACCCCAGTCCTCAACCCCCAGTCCTCAAACCTCAGTCCTCAACCCCCAGTCCTCAACCCCCAGTCCTCAAACCTCAGTCCTCAACCCCCAGTCTTCAAACCCTAGTCATCAAACCCCCAGTCCTCAAACCACCCCAGTCCTCAAACCCCCAGTCCTCAAACCCCCAGTCCTCAAATCCCAGTCCTCAAACCCCAGTCCTCAAACCTCAGTCCTCAACCCCAGTCCTTAAACCCCCAGTCCTCAACCCCCAGTCCTCAAACCCCAGTCCTCAAACCCCAGTCCTCAAACCCCAGTCCTCAAACCCCCAGTCCTCAAACCCCAGTCCTCAAACCCCAGTCCTCAAACCTCAGTCCTCAACCCCAGTCCTTAAACCCCCAGTCCTCAAACCTCAGTCCTCAAACCTCAGTCCTCAAACCCCAGTCCTCAAACCTCAGTCCTCAAACCCCAGTCCTTAAACCCCCAGTCCTCAAACCCCAGTCCTTAAACCCCAGTCATCAAACCACCCTAGTCCTCAAACCCCCAGTCCTCAAACCACCCTAGTCCTCAAACCCCAGTCCTCAAACCCCAGTCCTCAAACCCCAGTCCTTAAACCCCAGTCATCAAACCTCAGTCCTCAAACCCCAGTCCTCAAACCACCCTAGTCCTAAAACCCCAGTCCTAAAACTCCCGTCCTCCCCCACCCCCCGGAGTCCTTAAACCCCAGTCCTCAACTCCCCCCCCCCAGTCCTCAACCTCCCGTCCTCAAACCCACCGTCCTGACTCAACCCCCCCCCCCCCCCCCCACACCCACCTGGCTGACACCAATTTTTGTCATGTAAGTCGACATCAAAAACGACATTTCGCGACACGCACTGGTTTCATGAGTCATCGACGACATTTCGCTTATCCCAATTTGTCCTCTCTGGACTTTACTCCCGCACACAAAAATCTATCCCTCCTTAACATGATCAGAGCCAGACAACACCGTAATTAAATGCCAGATAATTAACTAGCACCTAATTAACTGACCTTCCCTTGCCAGCTATTTGGATCCGATTTCAGGCGTTTGTAGTACACACAGCGGTTTAACTGTCAGTAATACGTTCCTCGGTTTAACAGTATGAAACGCTTTTATTGGTTGAACTCTCTGTAATACTTTCATAGGTTCAACAGTCTGTAATACTTGTGTGTGTTTAACTGTAATACTTTCATATGTTTAACTGTAATGCTTTTATTTTTAGCTGTAATACTTGTATGCTTAACTGGAATACTTTCCTATGTTTAACTGTAATACTTTCATATGTTTAACTGTAGTACTTTTATTTTTTAGCTGTAATACTTGTATGTTTAACTGGAATACTTTCATATGTTTAACTGTAGTACTTTTATTTTTAACTGTAATACTTGTATGTTTAACTGGAATACTTTCCTATGTTTAACTGTAATACTTTCATATGTTTAACTGTAATACTTGTATGTTTAACTGGAATACTTTCATATGTTTAACTGTAATACTTTCATATATTTAACTGTAATGCCTCATCCGTTGAGCTATTTGAACGATGTAAACAGAGAAACAGTTCAGGGAAAGGCTTTGCTGTTCTGACGCAGCTTACTGGTCTTCTTCTTCTTCGTTCTTAATTGCACCATTGAGGAGTATTTCCGCCAAGGCAATACGTATTAAGTGTCAACATAGTATGGGCCATTTGGACCGCCGACTCCCAGTGTAGCCTGATTTTCTTAAAGTTCTGAAGTTTATTTTTGCAGATTTCTCACCTAGATAAAGTGCTGTACAGTTAGCCCCCCTCCCTCTCTCTCTCTCTATCTCTCTCTCTCTCTCTCTCTCTCTCTCTCTCTCTCTCTCTCTCTCTCTCTGTATGTGTGCCACCCATATATTTTTTTATATTTACATGGCAAAACTGCAGGTAAAATGAGCTTTTAATTTTTTTCCAACCCATTTTGGCGCCCTCTAGGGTCGGCGCCCAGGAACATATGTAACCCCCCCCCCCCCCCCCTTGATACGCCTCTGTGTGTCAAGCATTTGATTATACCCAGGCAGAACGCAATAGGATCAAGAATGTAGATTTTTTAAAACCCACATTACCAGCGGCTAGACACCACACTACGTACTTAGGATACGAGAGACAGCAAGTCATGTGACAACCAACGATTTCAAGCCGGGTTTCGAACTCCCGCCCAACCACGCAATCCTCAACTCTTTGGTCGAAACCTTTGTTTATGGCTCAACAGTTTAAGACAACATACTTCACTTATTCTTGTGTGCTCCCAGTGGAGCGGAGGGCTTCAACCATCTGACTCTGTTTTGGGCGGCTCTCTTTATTAGCGCCCATGTAAGCCCAGCATCCCTTCTACAAGATTTTGTCCGGCCTACTTTCCTCTTTCTCTGAAGATCCCAACACAGAGCGAGTTTAAAATGATTAAATAAGGACTGTGTAAAATTATACTGTGGATATCTCAAGACTATATTGTAGGGGTTGTGTGCAAGTTGGGTAGTACATAATTATTTATGATTAATTTGATGATCTTTTATCTTTATTTCTTGCATTCGTTATTCTCATAGAAGATGACTAACGATTTTTTTTTTTGCCTCAGACATGTAATTTACAGCGTCAGTTATGTGTTCGTTCGCTTTAGTATTAAAGTTTTCATCACCGGCTTGTAAGATTTACAATAGTAATATTTCTTTCTTACTTGTAGCCTACTTTCATTCATTTAAGATGGTTTACTTATACATAAATCTAATACAAAACGTCTAAATAAAAAAAAAAAAAAAAAAAAAAAAAAAAAAAAAAAAAACCAACCTGAAACTGAAAATGCAACTGTGTAATTAAATGATGGTTCAATGGATTTTTTTTTCATCAGCGTGGTGGGCTGAGGGGACGAAGGGAGGGGGGGGGGGGAGAGAGAGGGGAGAATTTTTTTTTTTAAAGTAGAGCTGAAATGAATTTGGGATTACAGAGAATCAAAATGATACAAATGACTAACTTTTTTTTTTTTTTAAATACTTTTATTTGCAATTTAAAACAAGTACATCAACATCAAATTCTATATGCAACTAGTGTAGTTACTAAAGACGATTGATAAGAACGCAATACAGTCTGTCAACCAAAGACATGACCAAGGCCAAACTGAACTGATGCAACGGATGCAGGTGGTGTGACAGAAATAGAAACAGAAGTGCGGAGTTGATAGCTATGATAGAACCGATTACGAATACAAGACAACTGCGTAGTTGGGAGGCGAGATAATAGGACTGTACGGAGTTCATAGCTATGATGCAACGGATAGAACCAATTACGAATACAAGGCGACTGGTAGTAAGGGGGATATAATAGGACGGCACGACGAGAAGGGAGCAGAACAGAAGTTGAAGACTGAACTGTAGAGACGTGTTGTGATTTGTGAGAATAGGTTTGGAAGCCCGAACCATGGACTCGTGTATTCTGATGTGTGAGAACTAGTGAGGACAGTGGGGGTCAGTTGGTTCATTGTATTCTTGTGGAACATTGATGCATTGCTGTGTGGAGCATTTCTATTGATTCATTTAATAAAGAGATAAATGTAAACCTGCACTTCCGAGTATCTATATTGTGGTTGATGTTGTGTGCTGGTCAAAGATAGCACAAGTAAATAGACTCGGTAACATATACATAATTTCGAACATCAAATGTAAACTAAAGGTTTTGCAAATGTACATAATAAATATTTACATGATTTCATGTATATGAATATACAAAGTTGAAAGAGATTACCGAGATACAAATGACTAACGATGAAAATAATTTTAATCACACCTGTCATAGTGTTATACTGAACATTGACTAATCTCAACTTTCCATATTGTAATAATGCATTTTGTAATTCCACTAGCTGTTTTGAATCTAAACTATATTGTGATAATAATTCGACTATTTATAAACTATACAAGTAATATTCTTATAAAATAATATTTTTTATGTAAATTTTTTTTCAATTATTTGCATCATATTTTTATATTTGTATTTTTGAATTCTATGTAAGTATAACATTTATAAACATTGTTGAAGGTTGTTTCCCATGTCAGTTTATTTACTTGAAAGGGAAGTAGCTGCGGCACATCAATATCCAATTCTAAACTTGGAATCTGTCGATATATTAAGTACTTCACTTAAACAATATATTCTTATTGCACATTTAAAGTTTATCCGTGTATATCGGCGTAAGAATAAAGAGGCCTGAAATGTTTTAAATAAGCTATAAAACCAAGTGGCATGTCCATGATCGTCTCATAGGTAGGAGGGGGGGGGGCTATCAAAACTTTGACTTACATATCTATCTGTGTGTGTGTGTGTGTGTGTGTGTGTGTATGTGTGTGTGTGAGAGAGAGAGTGAGTGCGTGTACATTGTTGTTCTAGAGGCTGCGAGTGTCTAGAACAAAATGGTAGCGACACACCTCTGCCGACGCAAATATCTGTAACTCAAAGTAAATCAGTTGTCATTTCTGGGGTTCATGAGGGAGGAGGGGGGTTATAACACCCTTTACCCTCCCCTTCAACCCTTTTGCCAACGTTTCTGATTAAACCTAATGCAGTATTAGTCATGACATCCATAACACCAATACACCTCCCCTAGCACCGTATGCCTCCCCAATGCACCGTATAACTCCCCTAATACAATATACCTTTCCTAGCACCAATATACCTCCCCTAACAACAATATACCTCCCCTAACACAATATACCTCCCCTAGCACCGTATACCTCCCCTAACACAATATACCTCCCCTAACACAATATACCTCCCCTAACACCAATATACCTCCCCTAACACCAGTATATTTCCTCTAACACCAGTATACCTCCCCTAACACCAGTATACCTCCCCTAACATCAATACGTCTCCCCTAACATCAGTATACCTCCCCTAATCAGTAAAACTCCCCTAACACCAGTATACCTCCCCTAACACCAGTATACCTCCCATAACATCAGTACGCCTCTCCTAACACCAGTATGCCTCCCCTAACACCAGTATATTTCCCCTAACACCAGTATACCTCCCCTAACACCAGTATACCTCCCCTAACACCAGTATACCTCCCTTAACACCGTAGTTCTCCCCTACTACGAGTTTTTTTTTTTGTAATTTATGTTTCGTACGCAGCCCTCCATACAATCGAAAGGCGGCTTTATACATTAGCTTATGTTAAAATGAAAGCCCATTTCTCTCAGAGGATAACTCAATACAAGAGACGCGTCTTTGCTTAGAGTTACGTTTTCCTGGCCAACGCGGTGAAGCCGAGTGAATGGTACGCCCTTGGCGGTGAGTAAACATTCGGTTAAAAAATACTAATTGACTGGGAGTAATTAACCTGATTGGGGATAGTTTAGGCGCGGACTAAATGTCGTCTGCTTCAGCATTATCATTAGTTGCCCGCCATCCCGTCGACGTCATAATCATTATCATGGCTGCCATTA